TTCTCTCTTAATTTCTTGGATGTTAGTTATGGACCACATACGTTAACGCGTTTGAAAGCCGACTTTGATAGTGTGACGTGTCCTGTATGCGTAAACTTGATCACATACATTGTGCGTAAATTGTGTTACGTTACAAGTCACGTATACATCATGTTTATAGATTTGTTACGATCTTTACGTTAAAATTACATATGCCAACAATATTACGAAAGTAAGACGACGACGTTTTTGTATGTAATTGAATTTAAAGATAACGTCTATTTGTTATTTCTTTGATCCTTCGTGTTTATCATCTTTTTAAAATATTCAGTTTCAAAATGATTAACAAAATTAAAAAAATAATAAAAAAACGAGGATTTTTATTCACACACTTTTTTTTCTTTTTAATTATTGTGTTTTATTTTTAATTTAAATAAATAATCGATTTTATGGAAAATACAAAACAAAAATGACTTTTTTATTTAAATTAACAAATTTCTTCTAATTTTGCACCAATTTTACGTAATCAATAGATTTGGTACTTCTTGATTATACGAGTAAGGTGTCGTTTACCGAACGCTTATCGAGTAAGCATTTATCAATTCATTTTACTTTACATGATGAATATGACAAAGACTAAGAATCTTACCCGGTAAGTGAGGATGATGACTCTTACCATGGTTGGCGCTTACCGGGATAAATTGTTGTATACGATGCGTTTTAATGAATAAAATCTTACCCGGTAAGTAAGCGATAGTGTTGAATTTTACCGATAAGTGCTTACCGGGTAAGTGTTTTGGTAAACGGCCCCTAATAGTTACTAGGGGTGTAAATGATGCGAGTCGAGCCCGAGTATCACTATACTCACGATAGTAAAAATCCAAGTTCGACTCGAACTCGATAACTATTTCTCAAGCTCGAAACAAGCTCGAACAGCAACTCAAATCAAGTTCAAACTCGAACTCAAATCAAACTCGAACCAAGCTCACCCATTGAAATTTATGAAATTTTACGGTGTTTCTCTTATAAATTAATAAAACTTAAAGATGTTCTCTTAGTTTTTATAAAACTAAAGAGATCAACTTCAAACTTCAATATCAAAAAGACAAAGTTAGAAATTCGATTTACCTCTCTCTCTTTTTATAACATTTTTCTTACTTTTTTTACCATCTCTCTTCTAATGTGGGACAATTTCACTAATCCTTTTTGTAGTTTTTCTTTGTCTTTTTAACTGTGATTTTAATAAAAAATAATTAATTATTTTTATAATTAAAAAAATGCATAATTTTGTTTAAATATCTAAAAATATAAGACATTTTTATTATTTATATTTTACAAATTTTATCATAAAAACTGATTATATTTAAAACTAATTATATATAAAATAATCGAGTATCTCACGAGCTCTTGAGTCGAGTATTGAGTAGCTTGACTTCACTTGTTAATATGTCGAGTTCGAAACGAGCCTATTCGAGTCGAGTGTTGACTGAGCTTTGACCGAGTCGATCTCAAGTAGCTCACGAGTTGTCTTGTATCGTTTACACCCCTAATAGTTACATCAAAATCAATGTTACATAGACTGAAAAGCTGTTTATTTGAACCATAAGGGTGATGCCTGATTGATTTGAGTTTGGGCCCCAAAGATCAAAAGTGTCTGGAGGTCCCAAGTTCAAATCCAATGAGAAATAAAAATTCCCCCCGTGGCAACAAATATTCAAATACGGTGACTCTAAGCTACCCACAAAACAAGTGGTCGTCCTGAGATTAAACGGGTTGAATATCCAGATTAATAAAGAACACCCTGTTTATTTGGTTAAATGAGTACGAAATAAAAAGAATCAAACATTTATTGCATAATTGAGAAAAATAATAATTATTACACTAAGAATGAAGGCAAATTTATTTACATTTTGATAATTATTTTACCCGAAAATAATTTTTAAAAGCTTATTATTTATTTTTTTCCTCCCAAAAACGATGGTTCATTTGCAAAATTTAATGGTTTCAAAAGTTAATCAATTATTTTCTAAGAGTAAATTATGAAAACCGGAGGAATAAAAATCCACTTGTGGCCACGGAGGTTCAAATACGGTAACTCCGGGTTATCTGCAAAGCAGGTGGTCGCTTAGAGATTAGTTGACTCGCATAGCGAGTTGGATATCCAAGTTAATAAAAAAAAAACCGTCGAAGGGCTAACCATCAATCTACAACTTACGGCTTTACTTCTTGCAATGCAAAGAAACCAACTGTTCTGTAGTAACTTGACTGATAGTGTTAAAAAAGGGTCGTTTGAAGTATAATTTGTTTACCTTTTAAACCAAGAGGATCATAAGCGCTTCTATATTCATGCCAAAATTATATCCCATTAAATGAAAATGACGACTGGAAATAAGTAGTTGGCAAGTTACGAAAAGAGTAGTTACAAGAACTTGATGGGAAACACTTGTCAACTGGTGACCATCAGCTAACCCATAAGTGAGGAACCATCAGCTGAAGGACCATTAGCAGATAACGCATCAACCGATCACCATCAACTGATAGCACATCAATGAGTAGTCTCACCAACTGATTATTGTCTGCTAACCATCCGAATTCCGATGGATCATTTATCAGTATTTTCAAGCACCGATAAATACTCATTGCCAAGGACGCTACCCTAGAGCCCTACAAGGGGCCCAACAACCTTGACCCTTCATTATATGTTGTCATCAGCCGATCCTAGGTTCTAGTTAGCTTATATAAGTGTGTATTCCGCACCTCCTAACCCGTGTTACAACTTACTAACAACCCCATGTTCTCTTGTTAATCCAATTACACAAAATAATTTTCACTAAAAAACACCAACGGTAAGAACAAAAGGGCCACAATCATCAAACACCTTGAAAAAACAGAACTCAGAAGGTAATACTTCGATCCAACCATTGATCTATATTATATTATAAAACATTTAACAAAAACTCTTAAAAACCACTTTTTATGCATAAAGTATTGTTTATTAATACATATTACATAAAATTTAATATTACAAGTAAATTGTACATAAATACAACTTATTAAAACTTTATGTTTTAATTCGTGTAACTGACTACAGCTAAACATAATCAAATAGAAGATAAACATCTCAATTGAAATATAAAAAATCTAAAATATAATTAGAATAATCATTGAGTTAAAATACTTAATATTATCTTATAAAAAGTTATATTATCAAACCCAAAAAAAAATTAAATTAAAGAAATACACAAAAAAAAAAAATTAAATACTTAGTTTGATACCAATATCAATATTTTTTTTCAATCTTTTATGATATATGTTTATATTTATATTTTATTCAGAAATAATAAACATTATCATTTTCTCAAAACCACACAAAACCGTATTATAATATCAATTGAGACAAAAAATAAATAAAACAAGATATTAAAATCGAGATGTATCTCGCTGTATTGTGCCAGTACCCTTCTATATAAAAGAGTTTAAATTCGTTTTGATTTCAATATACAAAGATGATTAACAAACAAAACTGAAATTGTTATTGGACCAATATACAACCCTTATGAAAGAATTTTTCAGATCAAGGTAGAGCTGAACAAAAAAGCAGTTATGATAAGCCATTTAACTGTTACAACCAGTCCCACACAGCTAGTTACACAATTGGTTCTTAGCCCCCAAATTTATACCGGTATAACCCGTCCTTAAGTCCCCGTCTACTTTAACCGATCTGTTGATCAATAGGTGAGAATCGCACGACACTTTATAAATAAAGTTATACCCTAACCTTTATCCGTCCTTGGTTTCTTAACCGATCATTTATAAAAATCATATATGATGTTGCAATGCGATTAGCCAAAAGAGATTCAAATATAAGATCGCAAATAACATGTTGTATAGTACCACACCACCTATTGTCCCAGTACCATGACCATCATGAGATAGGTAAATCACATGTCCTATAAGCACGTAAGTGGTGCCTAAGGTCAAACCCCAGACCTCCCACTCATTCTGTAAGAATGCCCACCTCTTTACCCAACACGTTGTATAGGTTCAAACAAACACTTCCTATATCTAGTACTAAGATACACATTTGATCATGACTATGGGATTATTAACCAAAACACTTGCTGCTTCTTTGCAGGTAATTAAAAACTTATCAATGCTTACGAGGTAAGAGACACTTACCCAATCATAGATGATGGTCTTAAACAGCAATCTTACTGTGCCTTGTAGTTTTGCAAAGCAAGAATCTTACACAGTGAGGTTGGTGATTCTTACTAGATTAGTGCTATTCTGATGACCGAGGTAAGACTAAGGTAAGCGGGAGTGGTAACTCTTCCTCGGTCACGGTTGGTTAACGACCCCTAAGATTCAAGAAACGGACAATATCATTTCTGATCCGATCCTGGTGAGATATGTTGTCGTACACATACACAAAATAGATAATAGAGTCATTCAAGAGAGGAACAATACGATTTTCTATCCAGATCTATCCTACCAGGGATTGGACCCAAAAAAGTGACCCTCTTTTGGTCCTTTTGTGCATCTCTAGAAAACCAAATGAATCCAATACATCCCATACAGAGGTAGGATCTGGGGGGAATAAACTTTTCGCAGCCTTCTACTCAAGAAGATATCCCATACAGAGTTGGAATCTTGGCCTTGCCTCTACTAAAGGAGAAGAGAGGTTGTTTCCGTGAAGAAAGGAATAATGGTTAAAATGGTACAATTAAGCAAAAGAAGAAGAGGTGTGAGATTCGACTTTAACAACATGAGAGGTTGAAGCAGAATATCAGTATTGAAACTCTAGAAATAATAGAAACTTTTTACCAAGAAGCATTCGACACACGCAGAGACTTAGATTTCCGTATATGACGAAACTTATGAAAATGTTGCAAGACTTGCTGGATTGATCAAAAATTGTTGTTAGTGAAGAAGACGGACTATCAAAACTTAAACAAAATACGGATCAAGAACGATAATTACACGCTCTATGTGGTTGTTAACTTGTTATTCTAACGTCTATGGCTAGCGCGCCCTGGGTGAAAGATTAGCTCCGGCCTGGCCAAAAACAAGTGGGGCGAGGCCAGGTTGGACTTGATGTGCATCTCTACAAATGAATTGGAACGCTGTATCTATTAATAAAGTTTTGCATTCTTTATTCTTTTCCAATGAAAATGGATAATTTATATCAAAGGTGGAACGAATTACTTGAGGGCCTAAGACCCCGTTCAATCATATTCAAGTATCAAGATTTTGAGGAATATCACCTTTTACAACTTCATCGTGAATACTTGAAGCTGTTCTGGTCAATCTAGCAGCTTCTGATGTTCTTCTTTCCAAAGTAAATCGTTAATATTTGCACCTCTGTTTGCTGCCAATTTGAGTTGCAAGCAAATAAAACAAGCAAAAAGGGAAATGAAGTTGATCGCAAGAAACACAAGTGTGCAAGAACTCACCAGGTATATCTGCTGCTGCAGGATTTCAAGACAATATTCCGTTGTGTACCTTCATATTGGTTGGGTATCGAAAAGGAAGAATCAAATTTATTAAATGAAGATTGACTTTTGATTAAGCAAATAGATAATGGATTAAGAGAAAATCGATGTAGTCATTTTTGACTTGTTGAACAGCAAACAAGGAGTTTTTGCTTATATAAACTCAGGGGTAAAATAGTCAATTTTTGCCATTCATACTGTTCATTCAGCACAACAACCAAACATCAATTCAGTTTAATCCATTAAATCCCTACAAACAGCTTAATCCACACAAAGCTTAATGAAAAATCAACTGAACAGCCCCTTACTTTGTACATTGATTTAGATGAGGTCAAGGCTTTGACGGAGATGGTTGTGGATCTGATTCCAACGTGGGAACAATAGCAGACTTTAGCTCTAAATGGGAAACACGAACAGCACCTATTAGCCTCTCCGGCAACTCATCCGTAGTGTTTGCCTGATAAATGAAAATGAAACGGGATGATCAATTGAAATTTTCCAGTTTACAACACAAGAATCTCTCAATCGCGTTTCTTTAATGTGAATAGCAATTGAAATAAGTGGGACAATTTGGATGATATGACCAAGAAGGGAATCAACCCATGCAACCAATTTGACATTAGAAGATAAATCTTTTGACTTGTAAAAAACAAAACCAAACAAACCGAATAAATTCCATGCAAGGTAAGGGTCCAGGAGGGGTAGGACGTATGCAGCCTTTCCTCTACTCCTAAGAGGTAGAGAGACTTTTTCCGTGAAGACCCCCGCCTTATAAAACACAAAACTGAAAGAAACAACGCTAGAGGTAGACTTTATTTTTTGGTTGCTTACTTCTCACTTGTTTTCAAAATCTAGCACTGCGTTTATCATTTTTAAATGTTTCTGTTATGTTTTTTTTCTGCAATATTAATATGTATCTCCTTTTTTTCCACACTATGCCCTAGCCAAGAGTCTTCACAGAAACAACTGCTCTACTCTTTGGGTGGAGATTAGGTCTGCTTATATCTCACCCCTCCCAGACCCCATCTGCCAGTGGGATATACCGAGTATGTTTGATTTGGTATAATGCCGAAGCTTAGTTTTGGAACTTCTAGTTTGGTTGAAGGTCAGTTGCTATTAATCAACATACCTGTACAAGGAAAGCCATGTCAACAACGAGGCTAGTGATGGCACCGATTACAAGACCCAATACTCCATTAGCTACAGTAGAAGAACCGATGTCAACATCAACCTGCCAAGAAAAAAAGAAGATATTTAAATGTTAAGCCAAAAAAGGAAACTTGGTCCAAATGCTTTATGCAAGAATAGAAACTTACTTCTAAGTAATTGGCTTCACGAATATAGTTGCAGTCAACTGCTTTTCCCAGCAGGCAAGGGGTGCTTCCAACACTCTGCCGTACTATCCACGACCCCTGAATATAAATATCATGATGTCAAGAATAAATCAACAGAATCATGGTCAAACTTGAGGAGAAAGCGGAGGTAACAGTCATTACATTGTGTTCATACTGATTGCAGCATCATAGTAATTGTTCACTATAAGAATAAGTATGCATATTTGTTTCAGGAGCTGCATGGATTGGTAAACAGAGGGAAATGTCTACAAGAAGTGTCAAGAAAGTGTTTTGGCTAGTAGGAAGTACACAAACATATATGGAGGATCATTTAATGTCCAATAATGTAAAATTCTTCATTGTTTTACCAAAATTTATAAGAGATAGAAATATGAAGATATGATACAAGTTGGGGTAACTTAAACTAAACATGTTAAATATTACAGATAAGGGTCCCAAGTATACAGGAACTTCCATCAGAAATCTAACTTTCTGCTTGAACTTCAAATTGAAATAATAGAGAACTCCTAAAATCATGTCAATACCCACTTGATTTGCATCTTCTACCTGAAATCTAATTTCCTGTCCACATTTATTCCAAAATCATGTTAATACCCACTTGACTTGCATATTTTACCGCTTCACGGTCGGACCCAGAAATGTTTTCAAATGGTGGCACCATTTGACTATAAGAAACAAACATAGGGATATTTTTCACAAAATCAACATTGGTGTGTTGGTTATTTCATTGCTTTTCATATGTGAGGTATGTGTTCAAGTCTTTTATTGCAATTTTTTTCAGAAACATAATAAATCTGAAATTAAAAGCTATAAAATAAGAAATGACTCTGGTCTGGGGTGGAAGAAAAACCTTGCAAACTAACTCTACCAAAAGAAACTTGTGTCCTCATTGTACTTTCAAAATATATATGGCGGCACATGACAAATTGATACGGTGGCACTTTTCACGACCCTAGAATTTTTTACACTACGACGGATGAACAATATGGTGGCACGGGCCACCTTATGCTCTACATTGGATCCGTCCATGTAACATCCTACATGGACAAAATGAATCTTGGCATTGCTTTCACCTTTATAAATCGTGGAAGGAAAAGATGGTCAAAACAAAATCAATTAACAAATACATGGTAAATATTGGTTGGCAAAGCTGTTGCATAAAAAGGATTTAAAACATTTTATGTAAAGTAAATGACATGATAATAACCATATTTAAAAAAATGAGGCTATAGCCCAGCAGACTCCTGAAACTCAAACTAAAATGATTATTCTTGAACATAAAACCTAGAGACAATGAATTTCCCAATCCTAGAAGGGAATTAAGAAAATCCTGAACCGACACCTAGGGGTGTAAATGATGCGAGTCGAGCTCGAGTATTGATATACTCGACTCGTACTCAATAGTAATTTCTTAAGCTCGAAAACTCGCTAGTAGTTAAAACCTAAACTCGACTCGAACACTTTTGAAGCCCGAACTAAGCTCGAACTCCAACTCAAACCGAGCTCGAACTCCAACTCGAATCAAGCTCGAACCATTCTCACCCATTGAAATTTATGAAATTTTAGGGTTTTCTCTTAAAAATTATAAAACTTAAAGGTGTTCTCTTAAATTTTATAATACTAAAGGGATGCACCTCAAAGTTCATCTTCAAAAAAAACAAAGTTACAAAGTGCATTCACCTCCCTCTCTTTTTATAACACCTCTTCACCCTTCCTTTACTATTTCTCTTCCAATGTGGGACTACTTTACTAACACTTCTATAGTCTTTTTGTCTTTTTTAATTATGATTTTAGTAATAAAATAATTGATTAGTTTTTGTAGTTAAAAAATGCACAATTTGTTCAAATATCTAAAAATATAAGACAATTTTATTATTTTATATTTTACAAATTATATTATAAAATTGATTATATTTTAAAACTAATTATATATAAAAAAAATTGAGTATCTCACGAGCTTTTCGAGTCGAGTATTGGGTAGCTCGACTCGACTCATTAATATGCCGAGTCGAGCTTATTCGAGTCGAGTGTTGACCGAGTAGATCTCGAGTAGCTCGCGAATTGTCTCGTATCATTTACACCCCTACTGACACCCACTTACAAAGATGTTCGACGTCAAAATCTTACCTATCAAATTCAGAAACTAAATGAGATTGATACCTTGGGAACTGATGGTATGAGCTTCATCCTACTATTACGGAACTCATCATCACCATCAACAAAACGCTGCAAGAGAGACCCAGGCAGTAATTCTTTGGTCACAAAATAGAAGACCATGCTGTAGTTTGTTGAACCAGGTACCTTCAAGAGGAGAATGTTATTTCTTCCCCAAAACTTCAAGCACAATATTAGAACATGTTATTGGAAATAACTTACTTGGAGGTTGAACACAATGGAAAAATTTCCCTTTTCCGCGGCAACCTATACAGAAATACATACATAAAGAGTCAAGAACAAAGGACCTGTACAAAAGATGGTAGTAAATAACAACCACACTAGCTCTAATTGTATCCCCAATCAGGGAGTTAACTGATAATCAATAGATTAAAACCTAAACTAAAAGGCAAGCATCCACTCTTAAAAAATTCCTCTTAAAGTACTCTTTTAGCAAGACTATCCTTTAGCTACTTGGAGACTCTTTAAGTTCCTTTTCACCTCTTAAAATACTGAGTCAATTCAAGGAGTGAAAGACCTTCCAAAAATAGATCTGAGTTTGTTTCCTCCATCTATTTCCTATGAAATAGTTATGCATATGTGGAATTAAAATCTAACACTACATTGTTAAAGTAACTGCTTGGGATAAAACAATCAATACACCGCTGACCGTGAGAATATCCCATTAACTTTTTAGACAGCAACTGTTTTTCGGTTAGCCCAGTTAAGAGTTTAGTGCAGCCATAGGGCAACAGTACTGTTTTAGGCTCTTAGCTGGTTATCTGAAAATTTTACATGTCGGAATCTGGTAATGTTTAGGTAGGTTGACTGTGAACATTTCATTCACCTGCAGACATTGCTTTTTTTCACATATCAGAATCTGGTAAAATGTTTAGGTGCGTTGGACCTACTTAATCTTACATAAGACCCTCGAATCTGTTACAAGTCATTTAGCTCATAACTCTCTCGATAATTATCTTTATCTTAGGGGCCGTTTACAAAACGCTTGCCCGGGTAAGTGCTTACGGAAAAATTCAACACTATCATTTACTTACTGGGCAAGGTTTTAGTCCACCAAACGGTATTGTATGCAACAATTTACCTGATAAGTGCTAACCTTGGCAAGAGTCTTTGCCCTCACTTACTGGGTAAGACTCTTAGTCCTTGCCTTCGCTCTTACCAGGTAAGATTATTGGTTCTTGTCATATTCATCTGGCAAGGTAATGTGACTTGATAAGCGCTTCCCAGATAACCGTTTGGTAAATGCCCCCTTAGGGTCTGTTTGTTAGCAGCTTAATCGGACTCGCTGCTTGTTCGATCAACTATACATGACTGTTTGGTAGTGGCTTAATGATATAGAAAGTGGCTTATTCAGTAAGCTTCTAGGGGGAGCTTTATGCAGCAAGTCAGGTTTTTTCCAAACATGCCCCTCCCAATAAAAAACCACACTCCTTCCATTTATAAAAAACCTCTCCCAAACAAAAACCTTTCCCAATCTATACAGACAGATTAATCCACACAGACAGCTTTATCCATACAGCACTTGATGGAAAACCAACCAAACAGACCCTTAGTCTTATTTAGCTTTATGTTAAATTATCTTGTAGCCTACTTAAGGTTGATTAAGCCTCAACAATATAAATGGTTTCTATCCCTAACATTTAATTGGTATCAGAGCAAGGCTCTAGATACAAACCCTAAACCACAAACTCCTCACAGAAACCCTAGATTGCGCTAAACGGTAGACAAAGAACCCTAGGCACTGCCATGACTTTTCTCTGCAGTCTCCCCTCTGGTGTGAATGCTCTCTCCCAAGAACGCTTCATATCTACTTGTTCTCTTAAACCATTTGATCATCTCATCCCTACCTCTACATATCCTACCCTGCTAGAAAAAAGTGCAATAACATCACTGGGATCCAACACTAATACTTCTGCTTTTACTGCCCTCCAGGAAAGGAGGATCCTAATCTTCTGACACTGATTCAGACAAGAATTAATATCCCTTCTGCAAGGGCTTTGGGTGCATGTAGTGGAACTGCCCTAACCATCCCCCCCCCCCCTATGTTCCAAGGAGTCTACCATTCATCCTCCCAAGACTAAGATTGCATCTTTCACTGCTACTTCTGCTTCTCATGAAGGTCTTCCATTGACGAAGGGATGTCTATGATCAAGAATCTACTCTTTCTACAAGTGTCTTCCAATCCTAGTGCTAATTCACCACCATCAGGCATGCCTATCTTGTTTTTATGCATGCTTTCATCATCGTGAGTGACTGATCTTAGAGCTTCTGATCACAACCGCAACATGTGTCCTCATGGAACTAAGCTGGATCCCGAATATTTCCGTTGCCTCTTTGTCTGTTAATCTCATGATCAGATGGGCCATAGATGTTACAGTCCTACCTTGCAGAGATGTCACTTGCACTAATGTTACCTTTGTTGAGTCCAAGTCTTATTAAAGTTCCCATCAGTCTACCCCTTCTCAGTCTCCTGATTCTTATGAAATTCTAGTACCAGTTATCCGAAACCACATTCATCTCCGATTACATGGATCTTTACAAAGCAACAGAATCATGCAACTAATACTAGTGTCTAGTGCATCACCTATTGTACAAATCCCATGCACATCATCAAGACACACCTACACATGCTTATAGTCCTCAGGTTGCCCTTTTTAGGCAACCCCATCCCTTTCCGGAAGGGCAGCTGTAATTATCCTTGGCATCTTGTCCTAATCTACCTAGCATATACTGCAGTAGTACCCGAATTATAGATTCACCGGTGACACAAATAGTCACCCCATTCTCAGTAATGTGAATGAAGCTTTACAGCACGGGATGGGTGGTATAGGGCTATCTAGGAGGAATGGACACCCTATGTGAAAATGAGATGAGTTTCAAAAGCACTTAGAGATGGACGTAAGTGCCTGATAGGTTTGAGCTTGGGCTCCAAAGGTCAAAAGTGCCTGGAGGTCTTAGGTTCAAATCCAAGGAGGAATAAAAATCCCCTTGTGGCCACGGAGGTTCAAATGCGGTGACTCCGGGCTACCCACAAAGCAGGTGGTCTCCTGGGATTAGTCGGCTCGCATAGCGGGTTAGACATCCAGGTTGATAAAAAAAAGTGGGTTTATACATGACACTGAATCCTGATGGCTCCCTGAACTATTTGAAGGCTCATTTTGTGGCCAAAGGATATTCCCAAACCTATGATGTTGATTATGACACGATCTCGCTTGTTCGTATATGTATTGGTCCCTCCACTAGCTCAAAATCAAGAATGCCTTTTTATTGGCATTCCTGAGGATGAGGTACATATGGATCAACAGTCAACTTTCATTGTTCATGAAGAGGCCACCAAGCATTCCCGTATTCAATGATCCTTGTATGGTTTCAAACAATCACTGAGGACTTGGCTTGGTGGATTCCCACAGGTTTTCCTTATGGTTCAGATTGTCCATGAATGACAGCAATTGCTCACTGTTCCTTTGACATCAACAGAGCATAGATATTACTTTGGTTGTATATGTCGATGACAGTTATGGTAGGAGTTGATTTTCAGGATCGTAGATTTGAAGGGTTCTACTAGGAACTCGCTCCAGGACACCGATATTGAACGTGTTCGATACTTTAATGTCTGGATCCCAATACATATAAGTGGCGAAATGGGAAGGTCGGGTAACAGGACAAAACAGGTCAAATTATAAGGACAGGTCAAAATAGGTTGGTGCTTGACCTTCAACCACTTTCTTGTCCATTTTTTCAATTTCACAAACTACTAATAATATTACATATCATCACAAAAACTATTCTTACAATAATGATTAATAAAGCAATTTAGGAGGTACAAAACGCTAGAGTATGCTTTGGGGACTTTCAAATCGTTCGACCTAATTCCTTTTTAGCTAATTTTTATTTTTATTTTTCCCATTTGACCCCGTTATCAATAAAACATCCCAAATTGACCCATTTTCACATAAATGGGTTCAAAATGCTAGACCATCTAGATAAATGCCAATCAACTTTGACAGAAATTATCTACTGGTTACTCGACCAACACGTCACTTACTATATAAGTTTAGTTAGTTAACTCATGTCTTCCCCTTATATCAGTCACTAGATGCAACTCTTGGGATACCTGAAGCATCTCAAAGCTATCCAGGTAGAGAGTTTTTGTATTTGATAAGACATAGTTTTACTTTTATAGCTTTTACAATAATTTGTTATGTTTTCCCTATAAGAGTTGGGGAAACAACTGCCAGCTGTCTTTTTGGTATTGGTTCTTATGAGAGGGTTAGAAGGTCTAGAAGGTTCTACCGTTGATTGTATTTAAGGCTATGCCTTGGGGATGTATTGGTATCAATGACCATTTTTATGAATTGAATCAATGACACAGTGGATTGAGTAACCCAGAGCTGTTCTCTGTGGTATTGAGCAGAATTCTTTGTTTCACCTGTGAAATCACTTTGAGCTTCTATCAGTATTCTGATCAGGGTTATCTTGTCTCGTTGATCTACCACTGGCTATTGTTCTTAGGTGAGCGGTAACCTTGCCTCATGGGAAAGCAAGAGCAAGAAAGAATATTGCAGTCAGTGGTGAATCTAAGAGTCATGCTATAGCAAATTCTCCTAGGAGATGACATAGACCAAACAACTGTTACATGAATTAGGAGTCACCATAGTTGAGCTGTGGTAATCAATGTGCTATCCATATAGCCAAGAAACAAGATTTTCATAAGAGGACAGATCATATTGAGGTTCACTGTCATCTTATAAGATATCAAATTGTTGGTAGTTCAATGACTCCTCCATATATTCAACAACTAATATTCGTAAGAATCTGCATTTTGACAAATCCCCTACAAAAGACTTAATATTTCATTTCCGGCAAGTTGGGCATGATCACCATCTATGCTCCAACTTAGAGGAGCGTTACAGGAGTCATTTTAGTTCGTGCACTTTCATAATATTCTATATCTTGATCCTGTTTTTCTATATCTTGGATTATCTTGTAGCCTACTGAAGGTGCTTTTAGCCTAAATAAATGCTATGACTTCTAGGCTACTATTTACAATTTTTACTGAAATATCTGATGTGCTGACTAGCAATTCTATTTCGATTTTCATATGTTTTATAACCAGAGAACACTGAAAAGATTTTCTTGAGAATTTTGCAAGTTAGAACTGCCAATTTGCTTGCACCTACAAGATTTTCAATCCAAAATAAGTTTATTCAAGAACTACTACAATTTGCCAAGAATGGACAATAGCGCTCTCAATGTTGATTGAAGTCTTGACATCTCAATCTTATTACTTCATGTCTTAACAATGAGCTTTGCTGAAATTCATGGTGTGTTGGTAAGTCGGTTGTAGATCCTATCTTGAAATTTCAGCGTCTATATTTTGAAACAATTCCAATTAATACCAACAGCTGTAATTTCAATGCAAAAACATTTCACTTTTTGCTATGTGACTGAATTAGATCTAGTACACTTCTAAGCTGAAATCATCTTCATTCCTCAAGAAATCTGCGATTATACTAGAAACGGAAAAAACGCAGTTGCAGAAAATTTCTATACTGACAAAACATGAATGTACACATACCAAAATTATCTAAGACACAGAGGTTTCCATAGCTGGCAAGTAAATACAAGATAATGAAATGATTGGATTGACAATGGCAACACAGAATGATTAATAGAAGTAAAAGAATACTGATATGATTTAGATTTGTTGCCTTGGAAGTCCAAACACTTACTTGTGCCACACAACCTGGACGCCTAGCAACGTGGTCCATTCGCTTGGTGTCTTTAAACCAATCAACAGCAACAAGATCCATAAGAGGATTGCCTCCAGGCATCTCCAAGCATTATTGTAAAGAGAGAAGTTAGAGAAAATATATGCAATGGAAAGACATACTTAACTGGCCCAAAATACAAATTTTTGAAGCAATGCTAGCAGACCTTTGTTTTATCATAGCAATAACGCCTACTACGCACTCTAAAGTTGCTCCCATCAGATATTCTCCAACAGTCACGGCCACTTTCATTGTCATCCCGTCGAAGGTTGCCCGAAAAGCAGGACAAGTCAATTTGGAAAACAGGTCCTTCATGAATGGCTTTAAGAGGTGGACCATATTGTGAGTAATGTTTCCCTTTGGATAATTTATGCCTTCAGTGGCAAAAGCTTTCTAACAGAATATTGATGAGTACCTACCTTCCCGTCTCATCTCCTGCTCAACATGATATGCCTGAAAACATTTGATACCAAAATCAGGAAAAGAATAACACGATTCCATAATATAGAAAACTCTGTATTTGTTTGGGTGATGCTACACCATGTCCTTGTATATTCAGGGTTTCTAATTCACCTTTATCAACGAAATTCTAACCCTCAATCATATGGTTCAGGCTTTCGGGGTTAAATATTAATAAAAAAAAAATACATAAGCTTCATTCGCAACCTCTTCATCAGGGATTTGGAAGTCTTCATCCTCATCTGAGTATTCATCCATCAATTTTGCAGCATTGTCAAGAGATTGATTTCGATCATGAATGGAAGTCAACTGGTTTTTCTGTCTGTCTTTTGCAGGAACTGAACATGATGCCATATTAACCATAACCGGAATTCTTGGAGGAACAGTCCTTTCGTCAGTCTGAGCAAAATATTCCCTTAGTCCTATCATCGAAAATTTAATTTGAAAAGGATTATCTCATAAAAGGGGTCGATCAATACAGGTGCTCAGAAAGAAAAAAAACAGAACTTGACAAGGTTTGTATAACCAAATATTCATGTTGTAACGCAAAGAATAATAGGTATGTCCCTTTAAATCTAAAACTAATAAATGAAAGAACGCTTAACTAATATATAAACCAGGAGTTTACAGAACATTTTCAATCGATGTAGTCAAAACCCTTTTAAATCATTCTCACTGAGTACTACATGCACCATCATATGTGCTCGACTAAAGTTACTACTAACAACTATTGGTCAAATATAACACAAAGGAGACCAAGCCAGTAGCACCATCAGTTCTATTTGTTATTAAGCCAGACAGGCAACACAATGAGATGACACATGAGATTTACAATGGCAGTATCAAAACCCCTAGAAATAGGAAAGCCATTTAATCTCAGCTAAATAGCCCTAATGATTCATATGTTAAGCTAGGGGTGTTCGCGGTCCGGTTTGGGCGGTTTAACCCCTCAAACCACAAACCAAACCGTAATGGCGGTTTATAAAATTTTCAAACCGAGCGGTTTGACATCAAGTGCCCAGACCGGTCAAACCAGACCAAGTAAAAACGGTCTGGTCTGACCGGTTTAGGCGGTTTGAGCCTTTAATGGACTTTATATTAAACTTAAAACCCCTAACATGAAGCCTCACAAGACAACATTTCAGATGTTGGCACATTGAACTCCAAACCTAATAAGCCATTTAAATGAATAAAAGGCCAAGAATGAATTTCGAATTGTCTACTCATATCCATTCGGCGAAAAGAATTCCAGTTTCTAACACCCATCATCCCATGTATGAAAAATAGAAGCTCACCAGCAACACTATTTAACATTTGTAGCAAACAATGTTGCTGAAATGATGAAATATAACCCACACCCCATCCCTTCAGATCAATTTGCATGAGATGCTGAACCTGTGTTCTTGGCCTCCCATTTCGAGGTTTCAAAGGAGAAATATTGAACCCTCCGCCTAAACGAAAATCATAAAAATATGATTGTAAGTATTACATGGATATCGGAAAATTAAATCAACTTATTTTTATAATTAAGGGAAAATTTACTCTCTATATGAGCCCGGACATATCCTGGTTGTGGACCACAGTTCTCATGCTCCCTTGAGCAAAATAGTACAACTGCAAAAATGACAAGAGCATACATACATCTTAATATAAAAAGAGAGCCTGTAAAGGCTAAGCAACAAACGTAAGTGCATACACTCACCGTAACTCCCATCATCGTTTCGGCGCCAATAGCGCACGTAACAAAGATCACGTGGCCATACAAACCTGCAAAAGCAAGCACCGACATACAAAGAGTTGAGTTAGATCAGTCAATAATTTAGAACTGACCATTAACTTACTGGGTTGTTGAGTTCTATAGCCTATAGTTGGCCAGAAAGGAAAAAAGTAACACAAAAAACAAAACAAAGAAAAAACTTGCGCCTCCCTGCTTATAAAATGTGCTTCAAACTATCTACTGTTAAGAACAGGTACGAATTTTAGTTCTTAAAACATGGTGCTGTTAGGTCAAACGTTACACACGCAATACGCACAACCCAAAAAACAAGAGAAGAACACAAGAATTTACGTGGTTCACACGATCA